CTCTGCTGGCACTCCGGGAAGGGCTGGTCCTCCCACCCTTGACACACACACACACACACACACACACACACACACACACGGAACCCAGGTGTATACTGTCCTGACAGGAAATGGCCAGGCCTGGGCTCTGCTGGCACTCCGGGAAGGGCTGGTCCTCCCACCCTTGACACACACACACACACACACACACACACACACGGAACCCAGGTGTATACTGTCCTGACAGGAAATGGCCAGGCCTGGGCTCTGCTGGCACTCCGGGAAGGGCTGGTCCTCCCACCCTTGACACACACACACACACACACACACACACACACACACGGAACCCAGGTGTATACTGTCCTGACAGGAAATGACCAGGCCTGGGCTCTGCTGGCACTCCGGGAAGGGCTGGTCCTCCCACCCTTGACACACACACACACACACACACACACACACACGGAACCCAGGTGTATACTGTCCTGACAGGAAATGGCCAGGCCTGGGCTCTGCTGGCACTCCGGGAAGGGCTGGTCCTCCCACCCTTGACACACACACACACACACACACACACACACACACACACGGAACCCAGGTGTATACTGTCCTGACAGGAAATGGCCAGGCCTGGGCTCTGCTGGCACTCCGGGAAGGGCTGGTCCTCCCACCCTTGACACACACACACACACACACACACACACACACGGAACCCAGGTGTATACTGTCCTGACAGGAAATGGCCAGGCCTGGGCTCTGCTGGCACTCCGGGAAGGGCTGGTCCTCCCACCCTTGACACACACACACACACACACACACACACACACACGGAACCCAGGTGTATACTGTCCTGACAGGAAATGGCCAGGCCTGGGCTCTGCTGGCACTCCGGGAAGGGCTGGTCCTCCCACCCTTGACACACACACACACACACACACACACACGGAACCCAGGTGTATACTGTCCTGACAGGAAATGGCCAGGCCTGGGCTCTGCTGGCACTCCGGGAAGGGCTGGTCCTCCCACCCTTGACACACACACACACACACACACACACACACACACACGGAACCCAGGTGTATACTGTCCTGACAGGAAATGACCAGGCCTGGGCTCTGCTGGCACTCCGGGAAGGGCTGGTCCTCCCACCCTTGACACACACACACACACACACACACACACACACACGGAACCCAGGTGTATACTGTCCTGACAGGAAATGGCCAGGCCTGGGCTCTGCTGGCACTCCGGGAAGGGCTGGTCCTCCCACCCTTGCACACACACACACACACACACACACACACACACACACACACGGAACCCAGGTGTATACTGTCCTGACAGGAAATGGCCAGGCCTGGGCTCTGCTGGCACTCCGGGAAGGGCTGGTCCTCCCACCCTTCACACACACACACACACACACACACACACGGAACCCAGGTGTATACTGTCCTGACAGGAAATGGCCAGGCCTGGGCTCTGCTGGCACTCTGGGAAGGGCTGGTCCTCCCACCCTTGACACACACACACACACACACACACACACACACACGGAACCCAGGTGTATACTGTCCTGACAGGAAATGGCCAGGCCTGGGCTCTGCTGGCACTCCGGGAAGGGCTGGTCCTCCCACCCTTCACACACACACACACACACACACACACACACACACACACACGGAACCCAGGTGTATACTGTCCTGACAGGAAATGGCCAGGCCTGGGCTCTGCTGGCACTCCGGGAAGGGCTGGTCCTCCCACCCTTCACACACACACACACACACACACACACACACGGAACCCAGGTGTATACTGTCCTGACAGGAAATGGCCAGGCCTGGGCTCTGCTGGCACTCCGGGAAGGGCTGGTCCTCCCACCCTTCACACACACACACACACACACACACACACGGAACCCAGGTGTATACTGTCCTGACAGGAAATGGCCAGGCCTGGGCTCTGCTGGCACTCCGGGAAGGGCTGGTCCTCCCACCCTTCACACACACACACACACACACACACACACACACACACGGAACCCAGGTGTATACTGTCCTGACAGGAAATGGCCAGGCCTGGGCTCTGCTGGCACTCCGGGAAGGGCTGGTCCTCCCACCCTTGACACACACACACACACACACACACACACACACACACGGAACCCAGGTGTATACTGTCCTGACAGGAAATGGCCAGGCCTGGGCTCTGCTGGCACTCCGGGAAGGGCTGGTCCTCCCACCCTTGACACACACACACACACACACACACACACACACACACACATGGAACCCAGGTGTATACTGTCCTGACAGGAAATGGCCAGGCCTGGGCTCTGCTGGCACTCCGGGAAGGGCTGGTCCTCCCACCCTTGACACACACACACACACACACACACACACACACACACACGGAACCCAGGTGTATACTGTCCTGACAGGAAATGGCCAGGCCTGGGCTCTGCTGGCACTCCGGGAAGGGCTGTGGCCTGCTCCAGCACATCGGCCCCTCCAGCCTGGTGGGGACTCCTGGACAGATGCGAAGATTTGGCTGAGTGGCTGGAAAGGTACTGAAAATGAGGTGGAGATGGTATCCAACAGAGCCTGATAACTATCACAATTATTTTACAGGTGTTATCAATAAAACAGGCAACTGTATCTCACAGAATTTTCCAGGGCCGCCTGAATGCTATCTGGACTCTCAGAGGTTCTGCCCCCTACACTACCCTGATCACTCTGTGTTTTGTGGCAATGCTGGGATCAAAAGCACTGCTACAGAGAGCTCAGCCCATGGAGCCCTGGAGCAGCTGGCCTGTCACTCAGGCCCTGCAGCCACCACACGCATGAAGATGGTTGACACCACAGGCCTTTCTTCCAGCATCCGCAGTGAGGTAGGGACCCAGGGAGTCAGCAACCCCCACAGGCCAGCCAGATGCTGGGGCTGCCCTGAAATGGGCAACATGAAAGGGTACAAGAGGAAGCAAGAGGGATCACCCAGCCAGGCTGCCACTGCAGAGAGAGAGCAGTGTCTCACAGCAGGGCCCAGGTCACAGCAACCCCCGGAAGTGCATGCATGTGCTGAATAACAAACTTGAGCCTTCCCATTTCAGCCTCCAGGTGAACCACATCATTGCAAAGGGCCCTGCAAAGCCGCAGGCAGTAGAGCATTGAGCACAGGAGAAACTGAGGCACAAAAGATGCTGTGCAATAAAGCCAAAGTGGGGTGTGTGCTGAGGCTTGGTGCACCCCCCAGGTGGCACATCCTCGGAGGCGGCGGCAGACCAAGGAGGAGAGTACAAAGCTGAGTGTACACCTAGTGTGGCTGCTGGGGAGTAGAGATGGTTTTGGGGTGTGGGGAGAGAAGATGACTTCATTACAGATGTTGAGGTCCCCTAAATCACTCACATGCAATACTGGTAATGTTAGGGGCTATCGTGCAGGTGGGGTTTCACTGCCATTTACAGATATGCACAGTATGTCCTGCATATGACCCCGATGCAAATTCTTCCCTGCTCCACAGCAGCCACAGGGTCAAAGCCTCAGCACAGATGTTACTCTAGCGTAGCGATGATTTCTCACAGGTGTCAGCAAAGGACCAGCCGCAGCCCTGAGGAACAATGCTTCGGCTCCTGCCCCATGCCACATATCACACATGCTTTGAGGTCCACGAACAAAATCCCAGTGACACTCAACACTACGTCCCTGCCTGGGGTTGGCTGGCTTTGAGTATGTGGTACCAGAGGCTCCATCCTCAGTGCTGATGTCAAGAGCACCTGCAGAGCTCACCAGAGGGACCAGGCCAGTCCCTGGCTGACCTCAGAGGCCTGTAGAGGCACGTAGGGGCATGGTGGCTCATTGTCCTCAGCAGGGGTCACTGCAGGTCCCATGCCCCATGTTCAGTTCTGGGGAGAGGCAGCTGTCACCCAGTGACCTGATCCCTCTGGCCTCCTGGTTACCTCATGAGGTCTTTCTACACATGTTCCTGCCTGTGGGTTTCTTCCCGCATCCCTCGTGCATGGTAACTATGTGTGTTGGCCTACTGAGACTTTCAGCCTCCAGTACAATGAGCTAAAAATACTTCCTTCCTTTATAACTTCCCATCCACCAGTTTTGCTACAGCAACAGCAACAGCAAAGCACTGGGCCCGCAAATCCAGTACACAGAGCCAAGGAGGGAATTCACTTTCCAGCCCACAGCAGAGCATGCACCAACACAGCAAACACTCCAAACGGCAGGGATGTTCCCAGCTTTCTCATCCCCATCAGTTAGTCAGGTGACTGTCTTCCTTAGAAGAGTCATGGCCAGCGACAGGGCTGTAAGATGCCCCTGCTTCCCCTGCCTCTCTGTACTTCCCGTGTCCCTCAAGAAGCTTTCTGAGACATGCTAGCAGCCAAGCACTGGATGACGCCGAGTCCACACACACTGAAAGAAGCGTGTTTTAGTGTAGCATCACATTTTTAGTTTCGAGCTCAAAAAATGTTGGTAAAACGTTATTTTTCAAAAGGGCAAAAAATACCTTAACTGTGTCCTTTTAAGTATGGCTTAGAAGTTAGGACCCTTGAATTCAAAAGCTCCTGTTCACTTTACTGTTAGCCACTGAAATTCTAAAAGAAGAAAAGAAACTGGTAATAAAGTACACACAGAATCGGAGCAGATGCCACCACAAGGATTCTGGGTGACATGTGAGTGGTCCCTCATGAGGATGGGAGCGTCTGTCACCCATCAACTCCAACGCTTCCTACTTTTCACAGTGTCCCTCAGTTCTTGCCACTGGGGCTGGAATGCATACAATGTAAACGGGGAGACACAGGCAGCAGGCCGCCCACTTCTCTGTTCTATGAAAGACCTTGCTCCTCCACAGCCTCCTTGCAATGCTCTGCAGCCCACCCAAGGTCCTTCTCTTGCACGACTTTGCTGCCCCTGGCAGCCATGCCAGCTGAGGGTGAGAGTGGACATGAGAAGCTCACTGGAGCTGGAAGGCATGTGAGAGTACAGGGCCTGGGGCAGGGTGACCGCGCTGGTACTTGCCACTGAGCAGGGGCTTGTTGAGAGTGTAGAGTGGCGGCAGGTCCTCTATGTTGGAGATGCGCTGGTACATGGCCCGGGAGAGGTGGTCGCCATGGTACAGGCTGCCCAGGATGATGCTGGAGAAGTAGATGGGCTCCACAAAGATGCTGAGCAGGGACCCCTGGATGCCTACCACGTTCCAGCTGCAGGGGAGACACACAGGTCAGAGGGGGAAAATGGCTCCCAGGGCCCTGTGGCATGGCTGGTAAGGTTACCAGACAGGGACTGCCGTGGGGACAAGCACACAGCTGACCTGGGACCTGAGATGGTCAAGAAGAAAACCCAGTCTTAAATTTAACCTGCAAAGGGACTTGAGCCACTGAGTCCTTCCACGATGCCACGCTCACTGGAGGCTCTTTCCAGGAAGGCCACCAGAGGGGTGCACGTGTGTACAACCTGTGCAGCGCTACCTGGAGAGTGTCTTATCAGCTCTTCGATGAGGTTCTCAAGGCAGGGGCTTGGGCTTTCCCTGCTCCTCTGAACTCAGCCCCGGGAGCCAGCCTGCTTTGGAGGGGTGTGAGGAGCTTCCTGCTACCACCTGCCCAGGAGACAATGGTGCTGCACTGGAGACAGAGGAGGTGACATTATCAGCCTGTCATCCAAGAGGACAGCAGCCCAACTGCACTGCACCCACTGCTGTCTTCTCAGCCCCGCAAGGTAGGGGCGACAGGCATGGGGACAGAAGCAGGGAGACACAGCTGGGTGTAAACAACAAACAAGCAGGCTGACACTGTGTGAGGAGCTATGAGTTAGGTAGGTCGACAGGAAATAGAGAAAGGGAGTCCTCACCTCCCAGGGGCTCCTTGGGTTGAGCCTGGGGCTATGCCCTCAAGTGGGGGCTGAGGGAGGAAGGCACCCTTCAATCGGAAGGGTGGATGCAGGACCACATGGGAGGCCATGGAGCAGAGGCCAGCAGGCCAGAGCACAACTCTAAAGCGATGGCTGGACCTCACACGATGCAGGTGTCCCCAGCAGGGCCAACTGGGTGCATATTTAGAAAGTGATGGCAGCAGAGCAGGTCAGTCACTGGTGCAGGGACTTGTCTCAGCAGCAGCAAAGGTCAGAATCAAAGGCTAAGGTGGCAGGGATCTTGGAATATGCAGTCAACTACTGTCTTGTGCCTTGTGACGCCCACAGTGAGTCAACCCCTGTGGTCCACCACCCCAGAAATGCAGCAGCAGGCATGGACATTATGGGTCTTGGAGCTGTGCCCTGCCCTCTGCTTGCCTCAGGATTTATGGCCAGGAGCCGCCAGGCCAGACCAGACCAGCGCCTGATCTGCCCAGCTCCAACCTCCAGCTGCACAGACTACAGCCAAGAGGGTGCAAAGGACTTAAAGTTAGGATTTTCTTGTTTCAGAGATAAACTTTCTCCAGACTTCCTTATGCTGAAGGCATAAACTGCCTCCCTTCGTGTCAGAAACTCACTTCAAGGAAACATACAGATGCTGCCAGGGGGCTGCAGTCAGTTTTGTTTCTACAAGGGAGCCAGAAGCCAACAACAGCCAGGCGCTGAAACTACCCGGAATTTCCCTGTCTGCTGCTCCCTGTATTCCTCCCTGCATCTTCCTCTCAATAAGGCTCTCGCACACCTGAACATGGCCCGGTGGAGACTTAACAAGGTCTATCTTCTCTAGAGCTGCTTTGAAGAGGGATGTAATTTTTCACAGTAGAGGTCTTTCACTCTGAAAAAGGTAATCAAGACATCAGAAAGATATCTCCTACTCCTGAATAGGCAAGGCAAATATAATTAAAATGGCCGCACTTCAAAAAGATATATATCACAATCCCAAGCAAAACACGAGCAGGATTTCTCACAGATCTAGAGAAAACAATCTTAAAATTCATACAAAACCAGAAAAGACCCAAAACAGCAAAATCAATACAGGTCTGAAGTTATAGCACAAAGCTACTGTAATTAAAACAGCATAGTAGAGGCACAAAAACAGGCATGTGGATCAGTGGAACAGAAAAGATACAGAAACAGCCCTAAGCACATTCAGCTATTTGATCTTTGACAAAGAGGCCAAAACATATGCTAGAAGAAAGACAGCCTCTTTAGTAGATGGAAACTGGGAAAACTGGCTGTCCACAGGCAGAAGATTGAGTCTCAGTATAAAATAAGCTAAAATCAAAATAGATCAAGAATCTAAATACTAAAACAGAAACAATCTGTTGCAAAGTGAAATAATAAAACTCTTGACAACACAGGCATGGACAAGGCATGGTCCTTCTGAATAGAACCCCAGTGGCCCAAGAAATAATACCAAGAATCAATAAATGGGATCATATCAAATTTAAAAACTCTTAAAGGAACAACCAGTAGAGTGAAGAGAGAACCTAGAGTATATAGAACATCTAGAATCTAAGAAAAACTGAAAAAAAATTAGATCCTAAAAAAAAAAAAATCAAAAAGTGAAACGAAGACACTTTGAGAAGGACTGAAAGTGGCCAACACATGAAACAATATTCAACATTTCTGGCCACCACAGAAACGCAGATTAAAACAACACTGAGGCACCGTCTCACCTCAAAAAGAGCAACTATCACAAAGAAATCAAATAATAACAAGTGCTGGTGAGGCCATAGGGGAAAAGGAACTCTTCTGCACTGCTGGTGGGAATGTAAACTAGTACAAACACGATAGAAATCAGTATGGTGATGCTTAAAAAAGCTGAAACTAGAAATTCATTTGACCCAGCTATTCACCTTCCAGGTGTCTCCCTAAAAGGGTTAAAGACATCACATTACAGTGACACATGCATATCCATGTTTACAGCAGCACACTTTATAACAGCTAATTTTGGAAATGGCCTATATGCTCATTGATGGATGAATGGATAAAGTAAATGTGATATTTACACACAACAGAATACTGTTCTGCCATGAACAACAAAGATAAACTTAAGACATTCATAGGTAAATGGATGCAACTTGAGACCGTAACAGTATGTGAAATGAGTCAGGTACACAAGCTTATATATCTCATGTGAGAAACTAAAAAATGGGAGGGGGAAGGAAAGATGAAGTAGGTGAGGGGAAAGGAGAGAAAGGGGATGTAATAAAGAAGTTGTTGTGGATTAAAAATTGGTTGTCAAGCCGGGTGTGGTGGCTCACGCCTGTAATCCCAGCACTCGGGAGGCTGAGGTGTCCCACGAGTTCGAGACCAGCCTGGGCTACAAAGTGAGCTCAAGGCCAGCCTGAACTGCATAGTTAGACCCTGTCTCAAAAAAGACAAAAAGAAAAAAGAAAAGAAAAGAAAAAGAAAAAAAGAAATGAGCTATGCTAAAAATTGGTTGTCAAATTAATACCAGGTGAACTAAATCAGCACGATGTACAGATGGATCACCTGAGGAAAATTGCCAGCATAAAAAGGAGACGTAGAGAGGAAGAGTACTTGTGGGTTCTCCTAAGCATTGTTGTTTGGAGCTGTTGGTTCTCCTGCAGGAGCTCGCCCCCTGGTATGAACTTGGCTGTCCCCTGGTATAAACTTAGCTGTTACCAGTAGAGGAGTTTGGGACCTTGCTGCTGAGTGGCTGTGGTTCACTTTGGGGGAGCTCTGGTCCTTCCTTTGATCATCGATTCCTGGCTCCAGAGGGGAAGATGTGTGCTGTTTAATCTCCAGAAGTTGTCACGCTGGCTTCCTGATATGAACTTGGCTGCTCTCATTGTTGTAGGAGCTCAGGACCTCCTTGTTGTTGAGGAGGGCTGTGGTACTTTACCGGGGAGCCCAGATCCTTACTTTGAGCATAGCTTCCTGGCTCCAGTGTAGACCCCTCAGCCTACTGGCACAGATCCTTCACCCTGCTGGCATAGACTTTCCAGCTTCTGCCACAGACCTTTGGGCCCTCCCAGCTCAGATCCATGAAACAGACTTGCCTGGGTCATTGTTGTGGGTTCTAGGTCTTCAGCTGGACTCATGCAGGACATTGTGGTGGGATCCAGGCCCTTGGATGGATTTTCTAGGTGTTTAGTGTTGTGGACAGATTTCCTGCACTTTCTTGTATTTAACTCTGGGTGACCATCATAAAATAATATAAATTCTATGTCCTGTATGTAAGTAAATGTTCTCCCTGAAACCTTTGACTAACAGAAGTGAAGGAGGAAAATGAAAATAGAGCTTTGCAAATGAGGAAGAGACCAAGAGTTGGGCAGAGGAGGGAGGGAAGGGTTGGGATGAAAGACAGAAGTAGAAGATGAAGATGTGTTATGTCTGTGTACCAACTCCCTACAGTTAAGTGTAAACATCATGTACTACACAGGTGCACCAATAAAAAAATTGAAAGAATTACAATAGAAAATAAAAAAGACCGAGGGCTGAACTAAAGGAGGGAGGCACCTGTAACCCGAAGTGGCAGCAGCAGAAGTCTGCGACAGGCTGCCAGCACACACAGCCCTCTCTGTCCGTTCCCTTGCCGAGTCGCCCCAGCACCTGAGCATTAGGGTTTAATGGCAGTGTCAGTGCTTTGTGATAAGTAAGTGGTTTGGGGCTGCAGTTAGGGCATCTGGTCTCTAAAAGGTTCACCAGCACTGGTAGAGGTTAAAATGGATCCTCAAAAACTAAGAACTAGGAGGAGAACCAGCACTCCCAAGATCCGGCCATGGTGGGACTCAGGCAGCTCATTCTTCCACTCTCTTGGTACGCACCCCTGCCGTGGGCCAGGAGAGCCAGTGGCCCTGTGAGCCTACCGCCATGCAGGCTAAGAATAAAACACAGCCCCCACCCAAGCTACTGGGGATAGATGTCTCAGCATCTCTTGGGAGGATGACCATATGCAATACAGCAAATACAGGGGATTTCCTTCTATCTTCTGTTTGAAGGCAAGGGTTGTTTTCACTATTTTGTTTTGTTATGATTCTTTTGCTCTATTCAATATTCTCTTTCAATTGGTTTTATAATGTTCTGTTTTTGGTTTGATTTTGCTATATCTAATTGACTGAACTATTATAAAGATAACGAGATATACCATAGTACCTATTACTACCATCCCAGTATCCTGCTGTGAAGTTCTGTGACAATTTCACTGCATTGTCTTGATTGGCTTTGTTCTGTCTTGTTTTGTTGTAATTTTACTACTTTCAAAATAAAACTAAAAAAAAAAAAAAAAAAAAAAACCTAAGAACTAAAAACAGCAACACAATCT